GGGAAAAGGCGCCGCGCGTCACCTCAGGGGAGGAGGCGGGAGCGGATCCCTGTGGGAGCGGGGACATGGGGACCTGCCGGCAACCGCTTCGCGGCCAGGTTAATCGCGGCTCTCTTACACCATTCATGACATCATTATCACGATCGCTAAGTATAATAATCATTAAGTCATCCAGTCTTCGTCGTGCCTTTGTACGCGGGATCTGTGTTCTCAGTACAGGGGATATTGCCTGTCCCGTCATTCCTTCAGGAGTCCATAGGAACCCTATGTTCCCTAAGAGAAGTCCAGGCACAGCAGTGGCTTCTTTATGTTCCTGGAGGTTTCTGCAGCAGCACCTATTTCTTTAAAGACGAAGTAAGGTTAGAGTTAACACAGGCTGCATTCTGTGTCTTCCAAAAAGGAGCTTAATAGCAGTGCCCTTACTCATACACAGCCTGAGTGCTGGCATGCCGGAGCCTGGGAAGTGCAGGTTTCAGGGGGTGGAAGTACATCTAGATTCTTAGCTGGCACCTGGCTGCATGTCAGAGCCCTTCAGAATCACTGCTTAATTCACTTTGGAGCTCGCATGAACTTTTCAGCCTTGTAAAAGACGCTGAACACAGGATGGAGTTTGGCTGCAGCCTGTTGCACAAGACACTGTCTCGGGAGCACCTCTTACGTTTTGCTGGGTTCCCAGGAACACAAGCAGCCTCCTCAGTTTCAGCGCTGCCACAGCAAGAGCAAAAAACAATCCCCTGAGAGCAGCCCGAGAAACGTGTGTGTGGGACAGAGGCCTTGTTTTGATTGCTGCAGGGGCTGGAGCACAACAGCTTGGGTTCATCCAGCAGGTACGGCAGGGAGCCAGGCCTATTCTTCCCCATAAAACCACTGAGGTTTCGTGAGGCAGTTAATTCCTCATGCAGACCAGCGGTTTGCAGCACTCTGGGTCTGATGAACGGATTATCAAGTATAACAACAGAGTGAAGATGTGATTCTGGGAGCTTCCCATAATCAGGAAGGCTGGGGCTGTTCCATACACAAGTGCCTCATTGCACAGCGTATCACAAGAGATGAGCTACTAGCAGCTGCTACGGCCAAGACTCTTTACAATCAGCCCAACAAGTCGCAATCTAAATGATGCACAGATGGACCCCAAACCTCCTCTCCTCTGTCCCCTACAGATGAGTTATCATATAAGGAATTTCTGGACCACAGACAGACAGCTGCAGATGGATGTCAGGAAGGAAGGAATAGCATTTTTCTCAAACCTGGTTGCTTTGATGTGGTTTCATGACTGAACTGACAAAGGGGAGGCTGGTTGTGCACTGACAATTCCCTAAAGCCTCACAGCAATCGGGCAGTCTGCGTGCAGAGTGAAATGAGAGGTTATTTCCTAAGCAATGCAAGAAAACAAAGAGGAAGAAGGAAGAAAGGCAGAGTAAAGTGAGGAGATCATAGCAGAATATTCACAGAACATCTCAACTGTTGTTGAGTTTTTCGGGGCGTTTGCGTAGAGGCAGCACAGGGGCTCCTCATCCGTGCACGAGCCCTGCAAGCGCAGCGCGAGCGGCAGG